TTTTAAGATGAACTGGGTAATACTGAATGTGTTCAGCAATCTTCTTAGAGTTCTTGGCAAGGGAAGATAATTGTGTACGAGTGCAAAGGTTTCACTTTTTCGATGGTATGTTTCCCGGTCGATGGTATCCGAATGGTTTACTCGATATCAAAGTCGTGTGCGGATCATCCCAGCAAACTCGAGGCCGGTAATGGAAACCTTATTCAACGAGTCCTTCGTTGTTCGTTTCGAGTGATAGACCATGATCGCAAGCAGGAATACCTATCATCCGCCTGAACTTTGCCGGCAGATCACTTTATGCTGCGTGGAGTGCTCCGACACGTTTCATTGGGTTCATGTCGTTGGCGGCATCTCTGCTTCGATTGCCGCTATGGGTTTTCTGGGTCACGGACCGTAGCCCTAGCTCCCGCATCACCAAGGTCAGAGTTGGGCACAAAACACGAGTGCTGACTCTGATTTGCCATACCACAGCTCTCAATGCTGGCAACCCGCCAACATACCCTCCTACTAATTTACGCCACTAAACAACCCCCCCGCTGGGAGATTTATGCTCTAGCATACTTTAGAACTGCAGCTGTGATAACTACAAGTACTTTCCGTATCCCTTATCTCCCTACCAAGTGTACCTTATAGCCCCTAGTCTTCCCCCGAGGCTAGGTTCCCCGGTATATAATCATGCAAATTGTCTGCCAATTCCCGCCGGATGCCAATTTCCAGGCGAGCATCATGGGCGCTCACTCGATATTCTATTGTCCGCAGCTTGCACGGTGGAGGCCGTAGAACCCCCCAGCACGCCGAGTTATTGTGAGCAGGATAGCCCCGGTGCTGACATTTAGTCAACCTACCATAGGATATCTCCCTGCTTCACCCGGAAGCCGGCCAGGGCGGCTCGGGTTTTGGATTCATGATTGCGCCCGGTAAACACAACGCCAGAGTACCATTAAACCGACGAAATGAATAACGATCCTATCATAACCCAGAGATATCCACACTAGCCTGAACTAAAGAAATGCAGATCATACCTCCCTACTCGATATCCCGTTATTCCGTGAGTGCCACCTCCTTACCATCTACTAACCCAGAAGAACACGTTCCCGCTCCATCTCAATAACCGGAAGCCTCTCCGCGATAAAACTGTCATCCCGAAGTAAACTAGGAATCTGTTCTGGGGGATGCATATATAGTCCCTATCACAGCGCCCAGCTATTTCAGCACCATCGGTCCCCGCAGGCACGCCATAGCACAAGCGAAAGAGCAGGAAAGGAGGAAGGGGGCTTACGCTTCGGACATTAGCATATGTATCCTCCCTAGCTTGATATTGCTTAACGATCTCGCCAGTCTCGAATTCGATGAACAACCTGGTGTCCCTGAGGCGGAACAGCACACCATCGAGCCTCATGAAGAAGCGTTGAAGAATGAGCAGACGCTCGGGCATCACGCGGATTTTAACGCTCAGGATTGAGATGCCGTTGTCGGCGAGCTCGTCCTCGTAAAGCACCACGTCGTCAAAGAGGAGAATAGGGTCAGGGCGCTTGAGCTTGTCGAAGGGTATTTCACTACCGGTCTGTTGGAATGGTCTATCGGAGCTCTGGTCGCGTTAGCGTTTTTTCCTTTTTAGTCATCCAAAAGAGGAGCATAGTGGATGGATGGACGGAGGGTAGCCACATGAACAGTTCCTTGGTAATTGGTGGTGTACGTCCAATCATAAGGCTTCACAATTTCCTTGATGTCCTCATGTACTCGCTCGCGCATCTTCTGCCAGGCTTCGGAGTACGAAACCTTCAGCATTGACTCCCCAGACTTGTCGACCAGCTCGAGAGCATCCAGCGCGTTGAAACTGATGGACCAATTGAGCTTCTCGTTGGTCACATCGACACTATTGTTCCCAAAGATCATCTCTGGAGGCGAGATGCCCAAGGCTGTAGTCATGGCCTCGATTTCGGTGCTATTTAGGATGGGAAGCTTGTGAGTTGTTACTTTCCAATCACCTCGGGTAATAGATTTACCCACGTCGATGTTGGGAGCAGTTTGTAGCGGCGGCGATCTCGACATTTTTTATTGTTTGCCGGGGGGATGATGGTTGGAGCGAGGTTGTCGGTTGGAGATGGGTAAGTATCGGACGCCCAATATTGAGCTCCTTGGGCGGCGGTGGTGGGGCATCGTGCAGCTATGAAGCCAAGACAAATCAGGTCTAGTTTGTCCCGGTCAGAACCCCGATCACCACAACTCGGGTTATACCACAACCTTGATACAATCGATATAATCGCTACGATATCAGATGCCGGTGTCAACTGCGGAAGACTGCAACATCATACTTCGATATCCGTAGGAAGGCCTCCTGAGGGAATCGTTTACTTTGTGACTATTTCCAGTGGTTGTCTCCATTGAGTTGCTAAAGCCATACGGCAAAGAATTCCCATCCTAGTGTCCTCTTTCTACCCAACAAGCTATCTAACAATATCATACTATACAGCGAACACAGCACCGTACTCCTCCAGCCATCCAAACTCCACAAATAAACCAAGGGGGAGGAAATTCCCAAGACTAGAGAAGAGAAGATTAAAAAATGAGGGAACAAAAGAAGTACACCATTACCAAAACTCAAACAAGAGGCAAGCAAAAACTATGCATTGCTACAGAGAAATTTCCAAAGCTGCTTTGGCTGTGGGAGAGCCGTGAAGCTGATCAGCGGATAAAGCTTCGGTGCATCCTCCCGTCGTAACTGCAACCACCATTTATTACCAGGCCCCACCGTACCCAAAGACCACAACTACGCCGAGTCGAAACTTCGGTGCACCACAAACACCGTTTAACAGTCGATACATGCTTCCCCGAAGCCGCTCGAACAGTTCATCGCCTGTTATCTGATCAAAGAGAATGTCGGAAACCCAATTAGTACCAATCACCACCATTGTTCTCCATTTGCTCGCCAGTCCTCTCCCCTGCCTTAACCCCTAGAACCAAAACAGCACCTGCGACTCCCTGGCCGACTATGGCCTAGCATTTATAAGCCTGCGTGACTCTAACGGTGTCTCCCGTGTCTATTTGACACCACGGGACGCTGGACAACACGATAATCCTTGCACCGCTCCTGGTATCGATTTAGCCATCAGGATTCAATTTGAGGCAGGGTAACTCTTACTGCAGTCTCATTCTTCTTTCCCATCGTTTTCGGCCAACCAAACTTATAGATCTTAGTATGGCGTTCGCAGCGCTTGCATGTTGTCGGGATATTGAACTTCTCGGCGTGAAAAAAGGATTCTCGGCAATCAGAACAGATGCAAGATATACCAGCCTTGTTCTGAGCGAGATAATCTCCAGGAACACGCTTCACGGGCGGCTCACAGGGGTGAAAGTGGGGCTCACTTCCTCTAACTCGTGATCCCTTTTTAGCCTTGGCCCGTTGTTTCCTCACCAGTCGTTTGATATCGATTGTCTGCGTTTCATCATCAAAGTCCGAGTCATCGACCTCTGTGAAATCAGACAACTCATCATCCAAGGCATGTCGTGCGTTACATTTAGACCCTCTCAACGTGTCATCCAAGAAACTGCCAGCAACAGTCGATAGTTGCTCAAGACCCACTCTAGAAGCATGATCATCGCAAGTCGGATCGATGGTTATTTGGGGCAGGGGCCGGGCTTGCAGCTCGCTCCGAGGAGGATCAACAATTGCTTCCGACTGCGCACCTGCCTCGGGAAAGCATCTTTCAGCTAGTCTACCCAACAGTAGCGAGCTCGGCGCACACTGCAGAGGTTCATTTATTTCCCCTACACGTGCCTCTGATGCGCTGAAGAGAGCCGATGCTCTCGAAACCTCCGCAAAATTCACAGGAGTTACAGCTCCGTCGGTCTCCGGAGGTGTTTCCGGTCCGATCGCTCCAAGCATTGGAGTGGAATACCCAGAATGCATGCCCATGTCAAGAACCGGAGGGGTACTACAGAGCCCCTCAGAAAGTGCCCTAATGCTGTTCGGGGGGCTTGGAACTAAAGACCCGTTTCCGGAAGTCTTCTGCTTCTTGGCCTCTTGTATGGTTAGCGGCGAGAAAGCAGAGTTTCTCTTTCGCTTAGACCTCCTGGCCAACACAAATCCTCCCGCTACCGCCTGGATCGCTGAGCCATCCTCCTCGATGGGTTGTGGATCTCCAACAGCCACTTCTGAAGCCCATCCACTGCGCCCCAATCCTTCACAAGTCCTACACAAACATTCCCGATTGCCCTCCCCAAAATAGTCATCTGCATACTTGACTGTGATCTCTTCGCCCGCCTTGATATCCCTTTCCACGTATAAATTCACATGCTCCTTTCCCGCAGTGGTGAACTTGCAATTTGGCTCGCAGTCATGATTGATAAACCTAGCAGGCCCCAGTAGCAGGCTCATGGCGCCAACGCGTGAAGAATAAATGATGCTGAAGTCTGACTGCACCCGAGAATAATATTGCTCCTCGTTATCGGACATCTTGACCAACACCCCAGTCAGATATTTGACCATCTCGCCACGGCGAAGATCCTTCCGAGCTAATACGCATGCCTCGGGCCTCGTGGGATCAAAACGGTTGGTGCTAGCGACCTCAAAGGCGGCGTCCGGCTGATAGATCGATAGGTAGCGGCGAGCATGTCTGCCAGTGCACAGTCAGTCTTGATTACTCGTCCAGTCCCGCCGGAAGAGTCAACATGCCTTGAAAATTCAGGTTCGACATGGGCCCCACCCCTCAAGTATTGCGCGACTCCAGGTAGACTGTAACCAACAAGAAATTAGGCCAGGACCAAGAAATACACTTGTAGAGGACGTGACAGATTTGGAGGAGAAAACGGGGAGGTGTAGGGAGCGATGGGCGTTCCCGGGGCGCACTGCTCTCGCTCGAGCTCAAGAGCGGCGAGCATCGAATGGCAAGGGGGCAGAACACACCGCAGAAACTTTTCCAGTGCAACTCTAACATTCCTGTCCTGGACCACATCTTCAACAACGATCCTCAATATTGCATTAGTATTGAGGCGACGGCTCGGGTGGTAAGCACCCCTAATCTTCCGGATGGTAGCCCAGTAATGAACCTGCGACGCGGTCCGACTTCAGTAAGGGTAAATTCTTCTCAAGGATTTCTCAGGGGATAGTACACGGTCGACGAGAGAATCTGTCAGGAAGTCATCGTATTCTGCTAGCAAACTCAAGATTGATCCACGGTTTGTTGAAGAGAGAATCTCCCCCATACCGGAAACGAGGCTCCAAAACAAAAGGTAAAAATCAGGGAAGATGCGAGGGAAAAAAAAACGTAGAAAAGAGAGCGAGGAGGGGATACGACGAAAGACGGTTATTTTGAGAAGCAAATAAAGAAGGCGGAGATACAGGTGAAGCAGATAAAGGAGAGTACACAGGGAACAAGAAGAAGAGGAGAAAGAAGAGGAAAAAGAAGAAAGACAAGAGTGGGAAAGAAGGGGGAAATGTTAGAGTTGAAGGCTGGTGTGGGGAGACAGAATAAGAAAGATCTCTCTGCCCCAAGGGAGGGCAGGGGGAGTGAGGTGGAGAGAGGTGTGGTTGAGGTGGAAAGGGCGAGGGATTGCGGTACAAGTAGTGAGACAAGTTCTTTTTTTTTTAATCTTTTTTTATTTTTTTTATTCGAAGCAACAGGATCCCAGCGCTCAAGCAGGATATCGACGCACAATCACCCAAAAAGGCCTGGGTTCCAGGCCACGCGAGGAGAGTTGTCCGAATTGGGCACGGAATCAGGGCAAGGAAAAGAAACTCCGGAATGCGAATCACCTAGTGGGAAATCCCCGGATAATCCTGACATGATACCTGTACAGTACGAGCAAGAGTGCTCTACTCGAGTACACTGCGGGTAGGCTATCTCTCAGTTCTCTAAGCTCATGGATGAAGGCTCCAACGCATATATGATGCCCGTCGTGCCGGAGTCAGGCAGAGAAAACCCGCTCCGACTCTCCCCCTCTCCCTGTCCCCCCCTCCCTTCCCCGTCCGGGCCTGGTCGGTCAGAAGCATGTTATGACAGCGTATCCCACATTCGCAGGTGACGGCAACTGTAGATGGGATAACAACAAGCTGGTGAATTCCTTTTTTTCCCTTGATGGAACACGATGCGCTGCATTTCGTGTCACAGTGGGATAAGTGCAAAAGCCTCATCATACAAGTGGCGGGAGCCTCCCTACTTGTACACCTTTCCCACTTGTATCATAAGATGAATAAGCAATGGTGGCATCATCCCCTCCAGAGAAAGCCAAAAAATCCAGTACAAGTGCCGGTACCGGTATCGTAACATTATGGTGAATACAGTATCAGCTTCAGCTCACCCATCCAATACCGGGAGAGGGCCTATCGGAGGACGGGTCACCAACGCTATTCGACGCAAACTCCTGGTGCGGGGTGAAGGCGTACGAGCATCACACAATAGGGGCGCATTCCCACCAAAAGCCCTCCATCTGACCGGGGATGCACCACATGATGATCACTCGTACAGCAAATATTGTCAAACCACCCACAAACTTATTAAGCACCGAATCGGTGATACTTGTATAGTATCATAACGGCAGAGACCTACTTGTCCCCAGATCATGGTACAAGTAAGCTGTGGTGCCTATCAGCAGGAAAAGTGATCAAAATTAGGGTCCCGCCAACACTTACGGCAGTTTGCACGCGAGCAACTTTTGACCCAAAAACCCCCGGTGCTCTAGGTTCTCCAACCCCCAACCACGGCAAAATATCAATACACAGGATACTCGCACATATATCGTAGTATGCCAGTAATCGCCAATGCCAGCCTGCCGAGAGATCCCGAGCCCGAGTGCTCCAGTGCTCGAGTGCAATTTGAAATGGTCGGTGTACCGTACCCGCATAACTTACCGTATAACCGCCGCAGTATGATACCCCTACCATCATACGCTCCCCCATTATCAAGCCTCAGATGACAGCCCTGAGCGAGAGACTGCAGCCTGACTGGATTCCCATACGAGACAGTTTGGACGGTTTGGACAGCCCAGCCTAACACTTTACTCGTACATACCGGCAGGCCAACAGTGGGCTTACCGGCCCACGAGTACCTCTCTCTGCACACAGCGGTTGCATTCCGCCAATCAGATTGCCGCTCAGATCACCCATCAAGACGTGCCATATGCTGGAGTACCGGTAGTACCCAAGTGCTCGAGTACGGCAGGGTCAAGAGAGTGCCGGCAGCCCCCAGAATCCTACCGTGCTTTCCCGTCTGATCGCTCCTCCGAGACTGACCGACCGATTGATCCTGAAATACAAGGAAATGATGTGCTGCTCGAATGGATGTTGCGCCGTGGGCCCTGATGCTGACAACGAATTATCTGAGGGCCACTACTCGTACTGCTGCTGTCCAGTGCTGTGCCGTACCAACATCCACCAATGCTGTAGCTTGTCGGATCGAAGAGTGTACTCGAGTACCTCAATATACCTCTGATCCTCTTTGGGTGCCGGTGCTCGTGATATCCAGCTGTGCTTGCACTCCCCGCATCACTACCACGATACCAGCACTCGAGCCAACTCGATGATATTTTCGTGTCGTGCAATGTGATAAATTTGCGGTTGAAACTCTCGAGCCATTGTGGATCCTGACCCTTTGTTTTTTTTTTCCGTCGTCCCCCAATGTGATCAACAGACTCTGGCGAGGTTCGCAGGCACACATGGGCGATCCACCCAACGAGCCCGGGTGCCGCGCCTCTGACCCTCCCTCCTCCTTAGACTAGACTACAACTACTTTTATCAACCTTCAACAGTTGGAGTTTGGCCGAAGATAGTATCATAATACCTACCAGTTAATGACATGGATAACCCCCTTCTACCCGTACCCTTCCTCCCATCTCCACTCGAGCGGTACCCGACCATCGAACAGCGAGGTGAATGTCAATTATTGGTAGGAAACAAGCACCTCGTAAAACCAGTTAGTCAGAGATCACATATAACATGATGGGGCAAAGCTGGTTGAGTGAAACGAAACGTTCCCGTTGGCGGGGCTAGGTAAATACAGTACAGGAGCTCAAAGGCACTATGGTTATTATATTGTACGACAACACCGTATGTGATGAACATCCACATTTGCCATCCTCGGGGCAAGCGGTTCAATTCGCGGCGGCGCTCTGTGGATCCATAGATAACTACCCCCCCGCCCCGCCCCAGGTCCCGGAAGGCCTATCCAAGTAGCCTATGCTATGCACCTCCGGTCCTTTGCTAAACTTGGATTACAGTTTGATTTGTATAATTGAGTCCCTTTATTCCCTCCTCGCCCTCACATCCACATCCCGCGATCCTCCTCTTGTTCTCAGTGACCTCTGATCCTATCTTCAGTCTTCTGACCCACATTCGCCATGCCTTCCCACCAAAGGAACACGACGAGACCTCTTATATAATAATAATAATACCTGCCTTGCCGGAGTTAAGAATTCTTCGCTAAAATACCGCTCTGTTACAGAGAGCTAGATACAGCAGTAAAGTACCGGTATCCCTTATTCCCCTGGCCCATCCTGCCCATCAATATCCCCGTTTCTCCCCACATCTCCTCACTTCCTCGCCCCCCCCCTTCTCCTTCCTGCTCTCTTTTCTCTCCTCCTCCTCCTCCTCCTCCCTCGTTATACTTTCATTCCTCCTTTTTTCTATCCTCCTTTCATCTCCCTTCTCCTCCCTTCCCGCCTTATCCTCCTCTGCCCTTTCCTGCTCTCTCTTTCCTCATCCCTTCCCGCCCTTCCCCCCACCCCGCCCCCTCCACATTAAAGGAATAACAACCTGTACGTTCTGTTACTTTCCAAATACGGTAATAGCCACGCCGATCACTCCAGGATAGCCGCTGCTTCCATTTTGGCCTTTTCTCTGGCTCTGGTCCGGGATCGAGTCTGCCTGAACTCTGTCAGCCCAAAGCCCAGCGATCCGAGGCGGGTCCAAACGAATTCCTTTTGCTTCGTGAGGAGAAAAAAATAATCACAGCTTAAATCTAAAGGGAAACCCCCTCAGCGAGAAGCGAGCTATTAGTTGTGTCAACCCCCCCCCCCCCTGCGAAAAGGGAAAAAAAACCCCCCTAGAGAGGCTCTCCTCACGTTTAGGAACGCCGAGGACGCTTCATCCGAAATCGATCTCCCTCAAGGAACCAAGTCAAGATCTTTCTGGCTGCTTGCGGCGTTGTAACGCTACTTGACCCCCCAGGAACGAGTGGTCGTCCAGCAACCCCTAGTGGATATTCAGCCCCCGACCCACACTGACTTCTACCCCCTCCCTTCAAATACCTTTCTCCATTGTCTCAACCGTTGCTGCAGCTGTATCGTTCCTTCGCCATCTTTCTCTCCTACCGTCACTCCGCTACTCGTGGTGGCCGTTAGCCATTGCTGCGCCCCCGGCTCCGACATAATCTCGGGCGAGATCTTGGAGGTGGAGACGGGGAATTGGGGCCTTACTCTCCCACCGCTACGCCCGCTGCCCGCTACCTTCAATTTTCTCTACTTTTTTTCTTTATACTATTGAGCCTCCAGGCTTCCGCCGATTCGCAATACCCCACTGGAAACAGACAAAGGGATTGGAGGAGGCCCCCAACAGGTGCCCTCCCTTCTCGACATATCGCCGGGTATCTTGCATGCCGGCTCTAGGGTTTCTCAAGAAGAAGAAGAAAGAGAAAGATTCGTCGCATGCGAGAAAGAGCAGCTCCCAATCTGAGATTCGGGATTCGGAACCGCCAACGCCAACCTCCGCCACCACGCCGACCACTTCCCATCACTCATTCAAGCATTCGATTGCGTCAGCCTCCTCATCCTCAACTGCCCCTCCAGCCACCCCATCTGTCCCATCTGCTCCCGCCGCCGAATCCATGGCATTGGTCTCTGATCACCGGCCCATGATACCCGAGCATCAACCGCAACCGCAACAGCAGCAGCAGCAGCAGCAGTACCAAAGTTCTACCCACCAGCCCCAGAGCCAACCTCACCAGAGCAATATCAACAACATCATCAACCCCCCCCCAGTCTAGTGACTACTCGAGGCCGCATGATGGCAACAATACCCAAACAGGCGCGGCGCACTCAAATATGGCGCAATTGCAGGAGACGGGAAACAATTCTACCGGAAATGCTTCGCAAGAGCGGTCTGAAGAGCGGCAGCGGCAGCAACAAGCTGCTGCTGTTAGGGCGACCAAAGGAAAGTATTCCTTGGGCGACTTCACCATTTTACGGACCCTAGGCACTGGAAGTTTTGGCCGAGTACACCTTGTCCAGTCACGACATAACCTCCGCTTTTATGCTGTCAAGGTCCTCAAGAAGGCCCAGGTTGTGAAGATGAAACAAGTAGAGCATACCAACGACGAGCGGCGCATGTTACAGAAAGTTAAGCATCCCTTCTTAATAACGCTGTGGGGAACGTTCCAGGATGGCAAGAATCTTTACATGGTGATGGACTTCATCGAGGGAGGGGAACTCTTCAGTCTGCTGCGGAAGTCGCAGGTGAGTGGTGTGCTATGGCTCGGGCTGGCTAAACGGGAAGCCTATTAACACTTAGGTTTCGCCCTTCGATAGCGATTTCCGAACCCTGTTGCCAAATTCTATGCTGCCGAGGTTGCTCTTGCCCTTGATTACCTGCACTCTCATCACATAATTTACCGGGACCTCAAACCGGAAAACCTGCTCCTGGACCGGCACGGCCATCTGAAGATCACAGATTTCGGGTTCGCAAAGGAGGTTCCGGACATAACCTGGACGCTCTGCGGCACTCCGGATTATCTAGCGCCAGAGGTGGTTGCCTCGAAGGGGTATAATAAATCTGTGGACTGGTGAGTTTGGGGGCATTCGGGGTTTACCGGATTCCCCCTCAGCCGAGTGGCTTTTGCCGGTTGGCGTTGTCTAATGTGTTGGCGCTTCCTAGGTGGTCCCTCGGAATCCTCATCTTCGAAATGCTCTGCGGGTATACCCCATTCTGGGATGGAGGCAGTCCCATGAAGATCTACGAGAACATCCTCAAAGGCCGGGTCAGATATCCCGCATACATTCATCCCGACGCTCAAGATCTTCTCCAGCAATTGATCACCCCCGATTTAACAAAGCGTCTGGGGAATCTACTGCATGGGAGCAGTGATATCAAGCAGCACCAATGGTTTGCAGAGGTCAACTGGGATCGCTTAGCAAAGAGAGACATTGAGGCCCCATACGTACCACCCGTGCGAGGAGGAGTAGGCGATTCGAGTCAGTTCGACCAGTACCCAGAGGAACAAGATGAGTATGGGGTAGACGATGGATTCGATCAATTTGGGCATCTTTTTGAGGAGTTTTGATGTTCTTTATTATGGCTTGCTTTTACCCTCTTTTTTTTCTTTTTTTTTTCTCGCCATCTCTTTTGCTCCCTCTTTTAAGCCTGCTGCGCTCATGCCTCTGCCAGATACCTGAAGCCAAGTAACCTTTTACCTTTAGCTTTAGCTTTTTGCTGTTTTTTTTGTTTTTTCTTTTCCTTTCCTGTCTAGGTTATCTGGCGACGCAACATCTCTCTAACCGCTAATACCCCACCGATTTGAATCTAGCCATCCGGTTGGGTTCCCAGTAGCGGGGGGGGATTCGGAGGTTGTATCAAAAAGTACAGTGCATTCGGTACAGGGGTTTTTTTTCCAATTTTTCTTTTAAATCCCCCCAGGGGGTAGCAAATGGAATTGCCGCTTTCCGATTATGCCTATGGCCATTCATGTCTCCCCCCTTTCTTCTCACGCTCTCACACCTTCCCTTACCTTTTACTCTTTTCTATATTACAATTTCCGGGTACGGATATCTCCCAATATACCAGGAGGCTGTGTAGGATAGGGAGAGGACAGGCGCAGACACAGGCACGGGGAACTCGTGGACGGGATGCTGGGTTGGTTCAGGCTGGGTCACACGGCTCCATGTTTATCGCTATGACTTGCTATAAAAAAACTGAAAAGGAAATGGCGTTGCCGATCCGGTAATGGAGGGAAAGGAGGAGAAAGGAAAGGATCATTGTGAATTTATTGATCATCATCATTGCGCACTTCTCTCTGTGATATGACAATGATATTGTGACTGGTGGGTGGGCGGAGACTATGTAGCCAGCTCGAACGAATATGCTGAAGTGCGGATGACCAGGGTCCCTTTGTCTATTGACCGCCGGCCGCGTGGGACAGGATGGCTAGCGACGCGGGTATCGTAGACTATCTCAATTACCGGGCCGACCATGGAGAAGGGACCGGCGGACTCGCCGGCGACTAGATTAGTGGTGCCCGTAGCGTGCGCCAAGGGTTGGCGTGGGAAGGGGATGGAACTGGGCTAGAGTGAGATTTTATGATTAACATGATCGCCGGGAAATTGACTCTCGGCTGTGTCGTGCATGGTATTGCACGACGCACAGTGAGGGAAGCCCACCTGTCACGGAGGAAAGCTATATCACGCTCGTATCATACCGCATTCCACAGTGCCCAAGTTCCCCGACTTTACAAAACAGGATATTGCCTCCCGTCGCCCCATCAGCGCAATTTTGCGAAGAACAGTAACGTACCCGATCGGGAAGCGGGCCGTGGGGGCCGGGCTGAAAAAAGGTGTTGATAAAGAGTAAAAGGACACAATTCTGTAAATAAAAAGTATCAGCAATTTCCACCATGGGTCAAGTTAAAGCAAGAAAAGAAGACCTTCTTGAAAAGACAATTGCTCAAGCAATCCAGGCCTTTCATAGAGGTAAGTACTCCTCAATAACAGCTACAGCACAGGCATTCGACCTTCTGAAATCAACTCTTGCATATCGATTGAAAGGTGAAAGAGTTTCCTGTTGTATCGCCCATATTGAGCAACAGCTCCTGATGCCGGTTGAGGAGAAGGCAATTGTGCGATGGATAAAAAAGTTAGATGATTGGGGATTCCCGTCCCAGTTGGATATGGTAAAGGGAATGGCATGGATGTTAGCAGGAAAGAAGAAAGAAAACCTCATTGGAATTGGAGTAGGGAAACGATAGATTATCTGCTTCCTAAATCGACATCCTGATATTGCCTCCTGGTATAGTGGTAATCTGGACCATCAACGTGCCTATGCAAGCAATCTGAGTAAGATTAAAGACTACTTTCGCAAATTTAATAGTATTCAAATCACCTACCACCTTCAATCAGAAGATATTTATAATATTGACGAGAAGGGCTTTATGATAGGAATGTCAGTGAGAAGCAAGGTAGTTACAAGAGTAGGGAGGTGGAATCCTAGAGTTACCTACGATGGAAAAAGAGAGCTGATTACAGATATTGAAACGATATGTAGTGACAGGACTTCAATGGCACTATTTTTGATTTTCAAGGCAAAAGCCGGCCATTCAATAGGATGGTATGCAAGTCTTGATGATCCTAAAGTGCTCTTAGCCTACTCAAACAAGGGGTGGACTGATGACTCTCTTGGTTATGAATATATCTCCCGACACTTTATCAAATTCACGCATCCTCCCACTACTCCTAACCATAAACGTCTTCTTATCCTCGATGGTCACTCCTCCCATATCAATTGAGATTTTTGTATGTTCTATTTAGAACATAATATAATTCTCCTCTATCTTCCAGCTCATTCTATGCATTTACTACAGCCTCTGGACGTTGCAGTTTTTAGCCCTCTGCAGCATTTTTACGGACTTGAGGTCAATGATTTCTCCCGGCACCAAGGTGGAGGAATTCATAAAGGTGTATTTTGGCCTTTGTTAAAAAAGGCATGTAGTCAGGCAATTACGTCGGACAATATTCTTGCTGGATTTTGAGCATGCGGATTGATTCCCTTCTGCCAAAAGGTAGTTCTCGACCGGCTTCAATTTTCCACTACTACTTCTAGTAGTAGTCCACAATGCTAAAACCCTACCACTCCATCCAAGCATCTTCAAACTCCATTCAAAAGTACAGATTTCTGACATGAGACTAATAAAGTACTTACAGCTATTGAAAATGTCTCGGAGGGGGAACTATGAAGACTTATATCTCGTTTGGGTGAGCTTGGAGCAGCAGTTCTAGCCAAATGCCAAATTGCAGAAGAGTATCACCGGATGGACCGACAGAAGGCTATTTCAGTTACCCAAAAAGCTGATAGACATTGCCTAACTACTGCATGAGTCATTGATGGTGCTGAGGCAATGCGTCTTTATCAAATCCATGATAAACTTGATACCAACAAACGGTTCCAAAAAGCAAAGAAAACCCCCCTCATATCACAAAAAAGATAAAACCTTCTCAAATTACTACACCCTGTATTCGCCGGCGCTGTGTTACCTTTATATCACCCTCCTCATCACCTGTTCTCACCTCTTCCTCTCCGGAAAGCATCAATGTTATCAGTGACAGTGATATGGCTGAATTCTCTCCCACCTCACCTACTCCACCACCCGACCATCTCCAACAACCACCTTCTATTATCCCCCTAGCTACTCCTACAAACCGTTGACTACCTACAGCCCCTTTTGGCATGCTCTTACGCAATTCTAAGCCTTAAATTTCTTTCTTTTCTTCTCCCTCTTTTTTCTTGTTAAATTTCTCATTTTTCCTGGTTTTTCCTTCCTATTTTTTTTTTTTTCCATGAATGTGGCTTCAACTGGTTCTCCTACTCTTTCTCTATTGATCTCTTTTTGTTTGATTCCATTTGGGTTAGAATTAATTGAGTTGTGACCTTTTTTACTACTCTCCTCCGTTGTCCCGCTTCCGTGTCCTGTCCCGCTTCGCCGTTGGGGACGTTACTGTATTACCGTACCAGCATAGGCCCCTGGAGACCTCGAGGAATTTGGAAGTTTTTTCTCTTTTTGATCTGAGACTTTTTTGGCCCCACCCCAAGTCGATGGGGAGATCCTGTGAGAGGTGTAATATTCTCCACTTTTTACTGACCAAGTCATGGATATATATGTTGATCCTTTTCCCCCTTTCCCGTGCCCTCCACCCTCCTCCCTTCTCCCCGGCTGGCTAAGATGGCTCTTTCTCTGCGAGTGGTAGGCGTTAGGGTGCGAATAAGTCATCAGATTAGATGGTTTATCAGGTCGATAAGTGTTCAGCACTATAATAATATTATGATAGAAATACTGCTACAGCGGAATAGGGGACACCTCCTCACTTTACAGTATGACACTCGTATAAATAATTTATGATACTTCTTCCCTCCCCCCAGGAAATTCAGGCATGGCACCCCCTCCCCCACCCCCACCATAAACCCCCTTCCAAGCCACCCCATCCAAAACGCAATCACCGCCAGGCAGCACACACAGCCCCGTCCATCCTCCTGCCACCACCACACCACACCACACCAAACCACACCAACCAACTCACCATCAATACAAACAGCAGCAGCAGAACGTAGACTACCCCCACTCTCCCCTGGAAACGAGCACGGGTGTGTGGGGAATCGATCGAGTATAAAGAGTATATATTATGTATATAAATTAGGCCCTACAACCACACCAGCCGTGGAATTCAATTCCCTTATCATGTCATATCATTTCATACACTGTTCGCGACGGGGCAGTCCGTCCGTCCTGAGGGTAGGACGGGGATGGACTGCAACTCATAGTCCGTCCCGTCATGGAGAGAATTTTGCCCGGGGATTTTGGCGAGAGGATAGGGAAGAGCATGGGGGACCACAACTGCAAGTATTATACCGTTGTTCATAAAATGTCTTAGATTGTGGGGCCCTACGGGGCCCTGTGGAAAAGGTTGTTACCCACAGATCACAGATCCCCACAGATCCCTACCGTCCTCTGGCGAAAGCCTGTAGCACTTTGCCGTCATCCGTATTCCTTGTATCATACCAGGACGGCAAAACTATGTCTCACCATGTCGGATCCCATAGTCTCTACCGAAACCTGCGGTCCCCAATATTAACTAAACTATAATAGACGAACTATGAATTTGTAGTCCCATCCGGTCCAATTTTCTTGGCAGTCTCCCTATAGGGCCTCCCGGGCCCCCGGACCACTGCGAACACCCATCTCATACACTCTCCAGTGGAATAGTAGAATCATAAAACTTTAAACTTGGGCATATGATGGAAATGTGTTTACAAAGTCTCGTCTTTTTTTTTTTTTTTTTGAATAACTGTTTAGTGGGTATATAGAATAGAGTAGAGCAGAGCAGAGTACATAAAGTGCAACCGCGATGCAAGTTCTTCGCCCAGTGAGAAGATATGGTATATAAGCAAGTAAGCAAGTAAGCAGATTAATTAGTTTTGTTAGTTAGTTTGTCAGTAAAAAAAAAAAATGGGGGGTGGGGTGATATATATGGATGCAGTTTTAGGAAAGCAAGGAAAATTGAACACAGTATATACGATCTTTATTGTTTTCCAAAAAAAAAAACTGCACAAATACCACACATCACACAAGCCTGTACAGTACCAGTCAAAGCCTGAGCTTTCGGTTGCTTTTTCGTTGGAAGCGGGAAGGAGCATTCGAACTTTCACTTTTTCTGGCTTTTAAAAGGCGCTGTAGAGGTCACGTAAGCTCGAAAAGTACAAGTTTTTTCCAAGCTCTGGTACCATATATGGGTGCAGTTTTAGGAACAACAAGGAAACTTGCACATGATATGTACAATTTTTATTATTTTTTCTGAAACTGCACCCATATGTACAGTACAGGACTCTATATGACTGCTGGTTGGAAGATGGCTAAGTGGAAATAGATTATTTGTGGTGGACTCCCGAAAGTCTGGTTTTAACTGGCGCTGTGCAGGCTCATATTCTATATGGGTGCAGTTTTGGGAAAATGATAAAACTCGTATCATGTGCAAGATTGCCTGTTTTCCTAAACCTGCACCCATATTATATATTAGAAAAAACGAGGAAAGCACACATATAGTACAGTACAGTACCAAGTTACGACCTACCACCAGGATTTGACATCTATTGTAAATTCCTACACGATCACCACGGGGCTCTACCACTAGCAGTGCTGAACCGTAAGAGCCACTCCCAAGGAATAACACGCATAAACTATAATACCTTTGCCATGTTAGCATTGGGTCAGGGGGTCTCACTCGTATTCCCGGTAAGCTGTTTGTGGGGTCCCCGGACTTTCGGGGGTCACGTTCAAACTTGAGAGGAATCACACCATATACGGTACTGTACTTCTCACTCAAGGTGTCATATCATGTCGTATGCGCTTGGGTATGATGCACTATCTAATTGTGGCTACCAAAAACCTGAGTACTATGGTGGAAAGAAAGTGCCAGAATAGCCAATGCCCACGTCCATTGCTCCAGTATTCCGATCTCTAGTCCCCGAATGCCACCCGAGCAGCAAAGTCAACCGTAAAGTAAATGCCATGGTCGGACAAAAAAAAAAGGAGTATCCAAGTTTAATAATAAGAATTAAACACAACGGAAACGAGGAAAACGGGGAGAGAAGACCCTGAACCATAAAACGAGCCAGCGAAACCCAGTTGATGACTACCCAACTTTATTTCAAGTGTCATAGTAAAGAGAAGGATCCATACCCTAAGAATACAAACGCCCCAAGTTGTGATTTTGTTGTCGAAAAGCACAAAGCGCAAGAGAGCAAAAGAAAAAAATGAAAAAAGAGTGAAAAATGAAAAGAAAAAAAAATCTAGGCAAGGCAGACGACTGTAATGCTCTCCCTCCCCACACTCTCAACTACATTTTTTCTTTTCTTTTCTGTTTGTGTCGGTACGCTCATCTCAACATCTAAGTACTGTTATAGTCGTCAAGTTGCACCTCCATCTCGTGCGTGTCACTACCGATCTCGGATCCTCCCCAGTCATCTTACATGCGGTCAGTCGTGTGGCTCACGAGAGAACCAATTGGTCTTACCGGAGGCTAGATCAGCGTCCTCTTCCTCCTCGAGGATCATCTTTTCTATCAAACCCCGCAGGCCTAACGTAGAGAGAGGATAAAATGGTTAGCTATGGATACAAAATGTAACAGGGAAAGGGGACCTACCATCATATCGGGCTTTGAAGACTTCCTCATCGCTCTGATACTCGCCACATTTTTCTAGCACTCGCAGGATGCTTTCAAAGGTCTTCTCATCGCATTGGTGGCGCTGCTTTGTGTATCTTGTCTCGAGGAAGGTGAAGCAGTTATCCATCAACATTTCAACAGCCGAACGTGATTTTGGACGATCACCGTTCGCAAGGGTATCGAAAAGTATCTCACTGAGAAACTGCTCCGTTTCCTCCCGAACTCTAACATCGCAATAGACTAATAATGCAGGCGCCCAGGATCCTACATGTTCGAGAATTCGGATTCTGGTGATGCCCGTCTTGATAACTGGATTGCGAACTTTGAGGAGGTCTTGGAAGAAGGCTAGATGTTCCGCGCCCCCATCAGTACCGATTGTAGGAATTTCCTCAGCGACTCGTCGGATGATTTCTCGCACATAACTTGGGGACCTGGTGCATGCAATAAATTGGGTAAGACATGTGAGAAAGGGGAGAGCTTCCTGAGCAGGATCAACCGGCACCCCATTAATCAACGTGTGCTTGAGAGGATCAAGGATGCCTCCCTCTACGGGAGCTACCTCCGATGCGACAATATTGGAAACGAGATTGGCCATCGCCTCGTCAACAGTCTGGGTCTCGAGCAGCCTTGTAATTGCGGTCATGGCATTCCTATCGTCACTGAATGTGAACAAGGTGTACTCTGTTCTAGTTAGAGGAAATCTCCGACAGCGCTCGTCAATAACGCGCCTATCTTCGTCCAGGCATGGCGGCAGGTTGGGGTCACATAGGCTCATCAGCTCGCAGAGAAGGCTCCCAGTATGGCTAATCGGCGGCCGACGCTTATTCCAGATCTTTGTAAAGTTGTCGAACATAAATTCCTTTTTCTTCGGGACCGGTAAATGATCTATTACCAATAACTGCAGCGTTTTCTTAAGACACCCCAGTTCTAGCATGGTAGACTTCTCAAATTGTCCCAGACTTGCGATGCTCGCTAGCAGTCCGAAATAGTCGTTCCAGGTCTTGGAAGAATATTGGAGACTTTCCCAAGACTCAATAAGGGCACTACAGACCTTGTATAAGATACTGCTGGATTCTCGTTCGTCATACTCATCCTCAAGTTTTATGTCGTCGGCTCCATAAATTGCGGCCCGTTTCCGTCGTAACTGGTTTAGGGCCACCAATACCAGCCTTACCACAGCTTGCCTTGGTTTAGGGTAAGGATTACAAACGAGTAGGTTCCTGATAGCCCCATCCTTGTCTGATATCCAGTTCAGGAAATCCAGGCAGCAGTCCGGGCAGTTCACTAGATACGTGTGGATCGTGCTGTGCAAGGACTCGGCCTCCCCCGGATCCTTGAATCTGGTTGCTATTTGCTCAAATGTCTCTAGTGCAAGGAAAAGCGCCTTCCGTTCGGCAAGATGTTCCGAGCGGGTAGAAGTCTTGCTCAATCGATAGTGTTGATCAGCAAGCCTTTTGACAAAATCAATATAGCTGCTATCGAACATGCAGTACTTTCGTATGAAACGTTCGTTTTCGGCCTGAATTTCGCACTCGAGGTCGTGAGAAAGTGGCAATTTCCTTCCGAACCCGACAGTCCCCAAATTTCCAGTCGGTGACCTCAGAAAGGACGAACGTTCATAAAAAAGCATGTAGGCGCTGTACGGTTTATTAACCGTAAAAGTTTGGCCCATTGAGTCCCTCGCCATACTATCACAGCCCCCATAACATGCCGACGGTATGGTGGATGGATCAAAGAAGGAAACCTCGGAGTCGTTAAACTCAAGCCACTGAGGGTTAGTTGAATCCGAAAGGCGATCCCTGACGTATGAATAGTAATGGCCAGATTCAGCGGTCCCACTATGGACCAACACCCCAACTAACTCAAATACATCGGGCAGGGGAGCGACTTTTCCCTTTTCCTCAGCACTCAGGAAATCCGTGGTATACGGTGTCATATCAATACAGTTCGGAAACTCAAACTTGTCATTGATCTTGCTTCTATGCATTGTCTGCAGGTCAAACTCAAACCGCTTTAGATGAAAGATGATTCCGTTCGGAAGATCTTTGAGCGATGTTCTGAGAGACGTTAGCGCCATAATCAAAGGGAGGTGTCTTGATAAACAAACCTCTTCACAGCGTTCACATGGCGGCCACACTCAGTGCAGGAGTATTTATTATCTGTATATAGCTATTAGAAGTATCCTCAGCCTAGGGAGAGTAACACCAAAGCTTCTTACCTCCATCCATAAGCTCTCCGCCAACATATGCCCTTAGGCTCTCTTGTAGATTGGTCTTCCCTTTGATATCGCACTGGATTGCCGAAAACGGCTCATTGCGCTCCGAGATATGTTCGCATTCCGATGACTTCACCTGTTGCACTAGCTGGCCGCCATAATAACCACGGAAAGAAGATTTCGTCTGTATTGAGGACATCTGGCCTTCAAGGCGATCAAAGACCAGGTTGTAAAACTCATCTACATCCATCTGGATTGTGATGTCAATTTGCTCTCCTTCGTAGTCCGTAATAGATTCAACAAAGTCCTTCGGCTCGACTGCTTTTGCATAACTATTTTGCATACGAGCGAAGAGAACCTTCATAGAGAATAGCAATCTCTGGGATTCGTCGACCGGGTTCACATCCATGTCCAAAATGAAGGCGCGAAAAGAACGATTCATAAAGAGTTGAGCAATCAAAGAATTAAGATAGCATGTATTGGACATATTTTGAAGACCGACATGGCCAGCGGAGGACCTTGCCCATCTGGTTCGGTCGGCGGTGTGGTTGTCGTGTAATGGATCGTCTGCGACATATAAGATTTTGCCATTAATTTTTACCGCTCGCTTACCTTTTGGGAATAGCTGTCGATTGAGCGCGACCATCCGCGTGGAAGATTCCAGGTCGTTCGCCAATTCAAGGAGAAGGGTGTATATCTCCGTGCGGGTGGGCCCGTGAAGGCATGGTAACCGCTCGGCAATTTCGATATCCTGGTATCGATCCCCAAATATATATACAGGAAAAAGTAAACGCTCAAAGATTTTCTCGGATACCCTAAACAATTATGTCAGCTATGGGCACAAATATAAGCCAAGCATCAAATACTTCATTCCCACTGCTATCAATCGATCCCGTGCAAACGCTGTGCACTGAGACAGCAGCTTTGATAAGCCTGTTAATATATAATCTTCCTTAGGGCGGCCAACTATCTAGAATAACCATAAGTAGAAGCCCTGATAATGAGAACACAGTCGACTGAATACTTACCTCGGCGACGGGGTACTCTATCAGGCGGGAGCTCCAAGTCCTGAGGTAATGGTCCAGCTCTAGTGATGCGGCATCGGCACTTCCCAGAAATCTACACCGTAAGTTAGAGAAATGGCCGTGGGGAGGATCCAGGCATGCATACTGAAATATCACAAGGGCAGCATGGTAGAATTCTGCGGAAGAATCAGGGCCTATTGAATCCTGGACTAATAATGGATCCAAAATCTGCCAGAAGTACTTTGCAAATCCCTCACATGGAACAACATCGTTCCTATATCCATCAGCGCTTGAAACACGTGTGAAGTTAAGCGCATGAAGCATACCGCATAGGCCTTTTCAAGGTGCCGACAATCGATCTAGAGACCCCCTGCCTAACCTTAGGACGGTCATCCCGGACGAGGAATTTGTCGATTACGCTGAACATCTGATTCTGATTCTGGCTGAGGGAAACCCATGTTTCAGGGTCCATCCTTGATGCCCTGAGAAGAGCTCTAAAGGCATTAACAACGCAGTCTTCAGAAGCCGGGCATCGAGAGTATTCCGGTTTTGAAATCGTCTGTAAAATGTTCAAGATGCATCTCACAAATGCAGCACTATCCGTCAGGTAGCTTGCGGGATTTTCTTCGGCTATGGGTTCTGCCGCTTGTTAAGCACATACCTTACAGCTCTATCAATGGACTCACCTTCTAGAAACATTCTCAGGCAATCCAGAAGTTCATTTGTGACCTGAGCCTTTGTACTTAATGAATACCCCGTGTTTGTCTCAAGTCCATCGGACATGATAGTCTCCAGTAAGCATGAGATGGCTCTGGCAAAGAACTCCGAGGCTCCGGTCCCCTAACAGGTGTCAATTTAACAAGGTTCTCTGCATGACCCATGGTCACTCACTAATTGCGGTCTCTGCTCCCCGAAACAAGCACGGAGCGTATAGAGAAAATATAGTATCTTGTAAGGTTTTTCAGCCGGCAATGCTCGCGACCATGATTCACCCGATATCATAGACTCTTTTAATTTATCATGAACAGGAAGGTTTCTTAGAAATACCCAAATCTGTGGAACACATCAGTTAGACCGAAATCCTAATACGCCCTCCGGGGTGGGGCACACACCCGCGCTGCCTGGGGCTCTGGCAGGCCAAGCAACTGGTAGAGGGCATCGAAGTGTCTCATAATTTCGGTTTCTAGGGCATTCAGATTAGACGAAGGTCTCACGACCACAGTATTTGACCCCTGATCAGGTGCCTTCTGGACAATCAGAAAAGCGTCTTCAGTAAGGTTGAAGTCTTTAAGCGTCCTCAAAGGATCCTCAGAAAGCTTTAGCTCCCTCCCAGCACAAACTGTGCGATGCTTGTCCCCTCCCACAAGTTTGGTGATCCGTTCGTGGAGATCCTGGGCGGTGTCGAGATTTCCGATTTTAAAAGTATGAACCTAATGATATGTCAATAAGCTTCACTGGGACATTTTTTGCTAAACGTGGAACATAATACCGGTGACTGATAATTGAGACCATGCCACCTAAGCCTAATTGTAAGCGGCAACCCGGTTGTCATCTCTGGACCAGATCCCTGATTTGGTTCTTGAACTCCTTTATTGTACTCTGAGCGGTTCTTGTATCCCTTGATAAACTGATCCAATAGATCCAGAGACCTAAGAAATACCCTCTCATTCTTCCGGAATGCGTCGTCCTTGGTACCACCGAGTGAGATAAGAGGATCTCCGGTAACTTCAGATTCAGTGATAACCAATGCGGCCGAATTCAGCTGCGCTATACAACGCTCCACCATCTTGAAGTGGGTGGCTTCAACTACGTTAGGGGGCTTCGACAACACAGCAGGCGACTATTGTGATCCTGTTAGCTAAATGCTGGCTTGCAGAGCAAAGAATCTATAGTACTGACATCCAGATAGAAGTTCACAAGGTATGTTGAAGCATCTGAGGCAAGAATTTCATTATTTGCATCCAGTATTATTCGCCACAGCTGCTCGATCCCATCCACATTGAGACTATCTTCATCCATCATTTCGGACTGCCTCTGAACCCGTATTAGTAAAGAGAACCAGCGCTCATTCAGAACCAATAGAATTCTTACCTCGGCAGACAGGCTGAGGTACTCGATTGACATTTTACAAAAGTTCAAAACATGGGAGGAGAAATACGCTGAATCCAGGACCGGGAAGTGGCACCGGAACGCATGTTCCAGAATCGGATCGAAACGCTGCACGTTTGTTTGTCAGTCGAGATCCTCCCAAGCAAGGAAAAACATACCCCTCTACAGCTAGTAAAGTGAGCTATATAAAACTCAAATCCTACATCGCGTTCTGGCTGCCCTAGGGCACTGACGCCTACCAGATAGGCCCACAGCTTCTCATCTAAACCAGGTGGTAGGCATTCCGGTGCGATAGATATTATATATTGCAGTAGCTCCAGGCGTAATTTCAACCTGCGTATCCTTGGAATTTGTTCCTTTTCCCTATGCGATTCGACAAATCCACAAATCTCCTCAATCAGGAGCTCAGCCAACTTAAGCTCAACAACGAGATACTCGATATCATCCCCAAAGGTGGGACTTCCAGCTCGCAACATGTGTGGCCTGTGTTCTAAAAACGGTGAGCCGGATCCACTTTGGACGGGGCGCGGGACTCACGTAAAAATGCCAGAATAACTGAAACACTCCCCGTCGCGCTAGGATTCATGGCCTTAATATCATTGATGCATTCCAAGAATATTTCCCTACGAGCCGTGCTGTTGGGACCATATCCAGTCAGTCCCCTTAGCTCTCGGGCACCGAAGTCAAAGATTGCGGATGCTGAGAGCCCAGTATCAATTGTAGGCTTATCTTCCTCTCGGGATGCCATCCGGATAAGACTGATTAGCAATTCGAAAGGGCCCGCATCCAAACAAATGCCTTCCTAGTATCAAGTCAACATGCCATACAAACGCAATAAACCCTCAGAATTATGGGCGGATAAATACCACAGTATGTTGGCCCTGAGCATAAACGCTTGTCCTGATCTGTTCCATAAACCGGCAAATGAAATCTATTACGTGCGAATCAATAGTGCTGAAGGGCAATTCATTAAGCCTGTTGCTCAGGCCAACCAATCCCTCCAAAGTCATGTTGCCAATCATTTCCTGGTGCATTGCAAGGGTGGCCTGGAAGATTCGGGGATCTTTGTTTTCCAAAATGGGTTGCCACAACGCCCGCTGTATTTCGGGTGTGATCGTGTGGGTAACCAAAAGAAACCCGGTCAAATTCGCACTTCGTCGGATAAGCTCGGGGTGAGATTCGGGCCCCACAATGTACTCGATAACCTTGTGTTCAAGGATAAAATCGGCCAGAAATCTGCTAAAAATTAACGGCTACCCAAAAGGAAACGCCGGGAATAATGCAATGCGAAGAGACGTACCTCAACAGGTTGCTGCTATCCCTCCAATCCGGCCCGGAATTTTCCCTCCAGGCCCTCACCAAGTAGTCTGTTGTCCGAATCAACCCATGAAGCCGGAAGTCCATCCGACTGCACATCATCATTCTGAGAAGGATTGGAAACCTGCAAGTCCATTCGGCAAGCTGTTGGAATTCGCTAGGATCCAAGTCTGGATAACGGTGTTTTGTCTTCTCTATGATAAAGGCTTCTGTTTGCGGATCCGGCGCGAGCATTTTGCAGACTGAGCCTTCGAGTATGGAGAGGCACTCTATAGTACTCGTGAATTCTTTGAAGTGCAAAACCTGCAAATGCGATTCCAACACTGCCATGATTGCCTTTTCGGCCGTAGGTAACATCAAAAAGGCAGACCTGCAAACAGGTTCCTCAATATCACTCAGATCCGCATCCAAGAAGCCTCCCGTCATTCCGTGCTCCATATAACGAACCACTCTGGAGAAAATATCTATTGGATGGCATATGTGAGTAGCTAGCTTAGGTTGCGACGACATCCTGCCATACATCAATTCTTGGAATTCTTGGATCATTTTTAGCGCATCGGTCTTCTCAACCAACGCTCTAATAACCTCAGGAAGATGCCGACTCAAAACGACATTATATGTTCGCTCGAGAAGGGTAAAGAGATGATTCGGCTTAGTGATGGCAACCAACACCCTCAGATATTGGCAGGATATTAAGGTAACTTCGACATCGATAGGAGACTCCTTCATTACTAGGACATCATAGTGTATGAATAGTGTGGTGAGTCGGGCGAACTCCACCATAAGACGTCCAGCCATCTCCACACCACTCAGGCCGTTACTTGTTCTCCTAAAAAACGTACTGCCAAAGAGCTCACTTTATTATCACCACTAGTTAGTGTATATTCCCGCAAGCAAGAGCGGCTCCCAGGCTACGTACCCCCTCCTCAAGAGCGTTTCCATCAGGTTCGGGAGATGCAGCCAAATGTCGTGATTGGTTGTATAAGCTCTCCAGAAGATGTCCATCTGGTCATTCACGACATTGACAAAATTCAACACCGAGGACAATATTTCGTCCAGTTCCCGCACAGGGCACGGATCTGATGCAGCGTTAGCCCCCACAACGAAAGTCCAAAGTTTGGTTGGGTCATAGTTTGGGATAACGCTTACCTCGCTCAAGCTTCGAAACCATGGAATCCATTAGATCTTTAACCCGATCAGGGCCCCCGGTATTGACGGGATTATTCAGGTAGTTATTCACGATAGTAATATGGCTGGACAGATGGTCTTCGCCCTCATCCATTTCTTCAACCTCCTCCACCTCAACATCCGGAGTGGGGGGCACGGATCCATTCGGCGAAGTAGCTTGGGGCGAGTCCAGAGATTGTAGCTGCTCCGATTGTTGAATGGTGGATTGGGTGGAGCCGTTGACCCGGTCACTGGCGTAGTCATCCTGAGCTTGATTCTCCTCCGACTGATGCAAAACGGACGATCGAAGATGAATGGTTATCGACTTTCCGACACCACCAGCCGCCGGAGCATCTGCTCCCTCCTCATCCCCCGGGTTAGTGTGATCCTCCTCTTCCCCGCTATGACGATCTCCAAGCGCAAGCTGGGACGCCCTGTCCTGAAGGGGACTAGAAGCTTCTCTGGGCGATTCGACAGCAACCTCTACGTCCTTCGTATCGTCGTGGATCGCCATGGCAGCTAATCGTTTACGGGGCCTTGTTGGGTCGTTGTCGTCGATTGAATTACGGCGGGGAGCGGCCGGTTCGTCTAAAAGGTCTTTTGAGTTATTGCTTGCTGGGCTGACTGGATCGACCGCCATGAAACTCGAGTCCAACTCTCCATTCTTCTCCATACAAAAGCGACTGGATGCCCCGTTGGGAGGGCGGACACACAATAAAAGATGGATGGGTAAAACAAACGTTCCGATAGTATTATTGTGATCAAGAGTAATTTATTAACGCTTCGTCGAGCGGACGTAGTGGAAGAATATAGGTGGCTCGGTTGTAGGTAGTGAGGAAGGAAGAGGGAACGAGGGTGGGGGGGGGGGGGGGATGGGAAGAAAGCTCGGATATGGAAGAGGGAGGGAGGGGGGGTGGGGTGGTGTTGTTCGACAGGCGGGAGGGACAAAATAGAGAGAAAGACGAACGTGCGTTGTGTTTGCGTGGGATCTCGCGTCTGTGATGGTTGCAGACGGGAAAGGCGCAGCCGCGGCAGGTACAATTCCAGCAAGCAGAGGTAAAAGGTCAGTAGCAAATTGTGGTAGGGGGATTAGGAAGATATTGTGTAATTGAGGGAGGAGGAGGACGGTGACGGTGATGTAAATGGATGTGGTAAGTAAAAGGCTAACTAGAGGTGGGTGGTTGCTGCTGCAGCTCCTTCTTTGTGCGTGAGTGAGAGAGGTGTGTGTGGGTGGGGGGGGGGGGGGGTGGAGGTGATGATGGTGATGATGGTGATGGTCGTGATCGTAGTTACAGCCCTAACGGTGGTGGTGGTGAACGGAGGTTTAGGTTTAAGGTATATAGGAAGCGGCTCGATACAGTACCTGTGAATGGTATTATAAATTCCTACGGGAACTCTCCTAGGCAGGTCTACCTACCTATGGTGCACCGGTATGGCGTATGGTAGGAACGGTCTAATTCGTGAGGGTGGAGCCAGAGGAGAAGCACCACCGCTATGCAGCAAGCACCAAGGCTGACCGCGACGAAAGCGAGCAGTGGAGCAACACCTATAGGTCGAGAAGCAAGCGGAGTGGAGGAGGTTCAACACTTTTTGCAGGGATTAATTTCTATCGCTCCACCGCCACGGTGCGATAAGAGATTGCGGGCAGATGGGTGATTGTGAGGGAGAGGAGCGACATTGGTGTGCAGGGTTTCGAATTTTAGGCCCCGCAGAGTCCCACCGTTGCCGATAAATTTACGGCAAACCTTTTTCGCCTCAATCCTCAATTGCCCATTTCTCCTTCGACCCAAATTTTATTACATTCTCCACAATACTATTTCAGATCCTGATGAGCCCGATCCGTACCCCTCTCCTCCTACAGCACCACAAGCTGGCGTAGACATTTAGCCGCATGCTCCGAGAGCCTATTACCCTATACAAACCACCATCAACAAAAAGCGGCATTAGAGACTGCAATACTGTTTCTACAGTCAAATCGGAGCACAATAGCATGCAGCATAAGGCAGCCCTCTTTCATTTCTACCCCGGGCCTTCCAGAATCGACCCGTGGTATCCCGGGTTGGTAGACACCCCAGCTCATCATCCTATTCCTTAGACCCTGTGCATCGTTCAAACTCACCTATGATATAAAAGCCGTTCAAAATATCCAGCCCCCCCCCCATTCACTGTAAAACCTCAGGTCACCAGCGGAAACCAGCCCGCCTGTTCACTGCGGGCCTATTCCAACAGGTCTACAGAATTGCCGATAACCAGCGAGGGAGATCCACTGCGTCCAGTGGGCTGATACTATGCCGTGCCAGGAAAATGCCAATCCCCCTCAGGAGCCTTTTGTCTTCGAACCCGCAAATTACAGGGCTTGCGGAGATGGTACATCCCAAGAGCCCCTACCCTTATTGATGAAAGAAGTCCCGAGCATGGTACCGCATTAGCTGCAGAGGTTCGCCTGCCGCTGGTACGTTGAAATAAGAGTTTTTTCCTCGCAATCTGTCTCAAATTCGCAATAATACGGCATCGCCTAACCTGTTATGGCCAAAACTAGGCCGGTTCCGGACTCTTCTCGACTCTCAGAAGTTTTACCTGAGCCTCTCTACTTTATTTCAACGTACTAGCGGCAGGCGAATTTTGCCAGCTAATGCGGTGCCGGAATCATAACACTTGTATGGGGGCCCCAACCGGCCACTGCAGCGGAAAGTACACTCGATTATACCTCAGCGGAGCTTCGATATCCTCTATTTGGACGCTGATCAAATACCATGTCGAGGCCGCATGCGCAAGGGAAGGGGAAAGGAGGGGGAAAAAGAAAAAGCGAGGGCATACGCCCAGTCCCCCCGGGCCATTGGATGGAAAATCAGAACCGGATGGCCAGAGAGGGTGCCAGAAATATGACACTCCATCCTGGATCAATATCTACTGGCGCACCTGCGAGCAAGATACTTGTACCCCTCAGCGACCAATCGTACAGATTGGTACCACAGCCAACCAGAAAAATGGTGCTCGGATCGTGCTGGGATATGCTGCGAGCACTCGTACTCATACTGTTTATGTAGATCCCAGAGGTAAAATCATCTATCCACCCACACTCCAAATCTTGGCATGACATGATAGTAAACATCATGAGGCTTTTGAACCCTCATGATTACCCCCCCCACAAAAAAAACCTCCTTGGTTCTACCATCTGACACCTGTTGTTCGGTACTGGTACTGTATCCTACCCACATTCAACTACAATTCTTACATCGCCAACCGCAAATCCGAATTAAGTAATCTACCATTCCACGCTAACAAGAATGACCTACAGCACTCGATCACGATACATTATGCGCCGTATGATATAGGACGGGCACTAGCACGGCATGGTACGGCACAGTACCTGCCAAGCTACCGGTATGTACAGTACCGTACCCCATTTCCAGCTCCGATCCGGATCCCCAATGTTTAATTTTTAATTTTTTTCTTCCCCTCCCCCTGAGATGAGCGATCGCGTCAGACATAATACCAGCACCAGAGCGGTGCGTTGGGGTAAGGGGGGGGGGGGGGGGGGCGTAGACTACCCTACCGGTATATATGCTGCGACGGCTGCCACGTTTTTCGGGGGTGGGGGAGAGGCGAGAGATGTGTATACGGTAATGGCTAACTTAACTTATGATAATATTATTATGATCTCAACTCGTATATTGCGGTACCCCATTTACGGGCAACGGTACCGGCTGCCTGACGGAGGAGGGTAGCGATGGGGGGTATACCGTAATATGATAGTAGTCTAGCTGATGATATCATGCAACTTGGGGGTTACTTATCGGGAGTAGACCATCGGCAATCCACGAGTACGGTATATGATACTTGTACAATTCTGGTACCGGTATACGAGTACTGTACCGCCACTTGCGCGGGCGAGTTGAAGGTGGCAATTCCCATGGTGTGGAACCGGAGTGCCCGACTCCGAGGGCTATCATACCATTCTCGAGGTACCAGTACGAGTACCGGTAGACCACTACAGGTATTGCACTGCACCGGTGCGAGTAATACCACCCCCATTTTTCCAACCCCATCCATCTATTCTGTACCGGTAGACTATCCGTCCTCCCCTCCCACCGCCACCACCACACCTTCCAACCCACAGCCACCCGCGACAATCACCACCCCCCACCCATACTCGTACCTACCGTTAATATGTACCTGCAGGGATCCCACTAGCGATACAGCGGGAAAAAAAAAAAAATACTAAAAATTAAAAATTAAAAAACCAAACACCATCGCCGCAACACACAATGACCACGAAGCTCACCCCCACCCCTCCACTCAACACGGCCGCAAACAAAAAGCCAAAACTCCTCTTCACCCTGAACACTCCCTTCCCAGAAATAGAATGGTTATCCCATCCCCCCATCCACCCTGTCCGCCTACCTACTGCCCTCCGCAGCCCGCTGACACTCCCATTACAGGCCAACAATCCCCCCCACCGCCCAAACCACAATCATAGAACACCTCAGTAATATGCTCTCACCAATCGGGGCACGGAGGCGCCTCCTGCCGCCCCCGCCATCCGCGGCAAAACGAAATAGGAAGCGCAAACGCGCTTCCTCCACCTCCACAGTTGCAACAGCTATACCACCACCTCCAGTGCCAGAAATCAGCAAGTACTTAACCGTAGGCTTAAACTCCACTACCGCCTACTTGGAAGGGCTAGCGGGGGAGCGGAGGCCGCCGGCCTTTGCCCCCCCCGTCGCGCAAGGGGAGAGGGAGAGCAGAAAACCGGCGATGAGAGCGGTATTCGTCACGCGCGCGGACTCACAGGCTTTGTTGCTGCACTCGCATATTCCCTTGCTTTGCGGGTTGGCTTCGGGAGAGGGCGGGGGGGGAGTGGTTGTCAGGTTAGTGCAGTTACCGAGGGGGTCGGAGGCCAGGCTGGCCGATGCGCTGGGGATTGTGCGCGCAGGGTTTGTAGGGCTACTGGAGGGCGCGCCGGAGGAACTCGTTGCGGGTTTGATGGAAGTTGTCGAGAGATATGTTCTGCCTGTTCGGGTGCCGTGGTTGGACGAGCAAGGCGGGGTGAGGGAGTACAAGCCGGTTAATGTCAAGGTTGCAAAGACTTATGCCACAGTGCAAGGCAAAAGGAAAAGGAAGGGGAAAGGTTCTGCGTCGACTTGAGCTGTGTATGGATGGGCGACTGTTTGGGTCTACCGTATGACATATGAACTTTTGCATGTGGCCGTCTTGTGTATGTATGGCACTTGACTTTCTGTATGGAATCGTTCCAACACTTACTTGTACAAGTACAAATCACAACCACATCGCTTCACCCTCACGAGAAAGCACTGCCTACGCTGCACAACGATTGAGTAGCCATTTCATCTCGACCATTGGCGCTGCGACTCCGCCACAGGGTATACAGAATCGACCAACAAGGCACTCATGACCAGCCAAACATATCCAACCAGCGATAGGTAGCTCTCTCTCCCACATGCTTCCAACCCCCCGCGCCAAAAGGAAATAGATACGCAATATATGAAACATTGAAACTGCTGTAAATGAAATGCACCCATCACTCCAAGCAATTAAAGATATTACTGCCCATGTAGAAGAAAAGCCTAGAAACGGGAAATTATGCAAAAGGAAATTTTCAAGAATACCCCCCATACAACCCTGGAATAGAGTGGAAGATAAGGATGCACACGAATGTAATAGAGAATGGAATCATCGAGTCTCCCAGCGACCAATGGATACCGGCGGTGTAGACATGAGGAATGCCTCATGCCCATGTACGACGGTCAGCATCAACGATGGGTGTTCGCTGGGGGAGGGCGGCGAGTGGACCTTGGCGGCTGTTGAGCCCCTTGTTGGTTCTGGCTCTGGTTCTGGTTTATTTGCGCATTCTGACGCATCTGCTGCTGAGCAGCCTTCACCTTTGCTGAAGTCGCCTGGGCTCTCTCCCTCTCTGCTCTCTCCTTAGCTTCTTTTGAGAGCACAGTGTCACACCATCCACGCTTTTCGGGGATCCGGCCAATGGTCTCATCGAGGATCTTGATCCAGCCTTTCTTGTCTGCGGCAGAATCGGCGTAGAAGTCGATCACTTCGCCGTTTCCGAATCGTATCCGGAACCCTTCCTCGACAAACATGTAACCTTCCTCGTCTTCCGAAAAGCCAGACTTTCTTCGGGACTTGCCCGGCCCTTTAACCTCAGGGTCAACAAGAACCTTGCGATCATATATAAGCTTCGAAGCCTTGCTGAGATTGATGGTCGCTCGTGGCTGGCGAGTGGCCTCGTGGTATGCAGTCAATCTTGGACCCACTAACTTGAAGTATCTTCGTCGCCAGTACTATAAGGGTGTTAGTATTCAGACCACAAACACCGGGACAACGAGAAAACTCACTGGACAATCGCCACCTTGCTGCGAAAGGTTTCCTTCCCAGGTCTTTGCCAATGTGTTTTCGGCCTCCCGGAGCTCGCGGATGGCAGCGTTCATGCTCTTTGGGAGCTCCTTCTGACTATTAATCAGGATTGCACCGTTCAGGAACGAAAATGGGTACTTACATCGGCCGCTCCCCTAGGCTTTGGAACAAACATAAGCTGGACTTCCAGCTTCCCGATCTTGTAAGGGGCCTTTCGAGCGGGCTGGAGGGACCCATGAAGACCCTTCTTGCTCTTGACACTCGCAGTATCTACAGCCCATTCATTGAAACAATTGATATCAGTGGTGAATGGACGACCAAACGCTTTGCTCTCAAAGTCCTTGAGACAAACATAAGATCGAGCAAAGGACCCATCGCGAGCGACGAGTCCATGCAACAAGTCCCATGCTGTCGCCGGCGCAGGTGGCTCTTGCTTCTGTTGCTGTTGCTGGAGCTGTTGCTGCTGCTGCTGTTGCTGCAACTCTAATTGCTTCCGCTTCTTAGGAGAAGTAAAGACCCTGCTGAACGTGGATTGTTTTGGCTTGGAGGGAAGGGCTTTCACGACAGTCCTGGGAGGAGGTGGGGGTGGTTGCTCGAGCTTGGTTTGAAGAGTCAACTGGAACTCCAAATCGTTGAGAACAACGCTATCAAGGTCAGTGGATGATAATTCACATACGATCAATTGAGCCACTCACAGTTCAAATTCCTGTCCGATGGGCGCATTCTTGGCTAATTCCAGCCATGATGTGGTGACGCAATGAAGCCCATTATCCAATGTTAAGCAAAAGTAGGTCGGTTGGCCTAGCGGTGGTTAACAGACGATTCGCTCAACAAATGAGGAAATTTCTCACCTTGAGGAAGCGGCAAACCCAGGTCTTTGACTCCAACCACTTTTACAAACAATCTTCCTCTCTCAGTGCCGTCATCCGGCTGCAAACCGAGACTTGCTCGACCTTCAACATCGTTCTCATTCACCATAGGAAGGGGCTTCCCATCCTTGCCCCCTGGTGGCATAGCACCGACATTTGAAGGCCTCTTTCGGACGCTCCCGCCGAGTGAATCGCGCGTGCTGCGCCTCCTAGTAGACGCTCGCCATGGCTCAACTGACCAAGATTGAGTCCGTGAGTGGCCTGGTTTCGAAGGGCCAGCCACGTCATCTTCGGGGTCTCTGCTTGAGGCATGAATAACCCGAGTATTCTGACGCATCAGATACCCGCGCTGGCCATTGTTAGAATACTGCGATTGAGGGAAGAGTTTCGAGAATTCTACCTTCTGTGCCTCGATAACTCGGTCGAATTCCTCCGACAGGTCATCCAACCCGAGGTCAAACTCGAATTCTCCTAAGGCGGGAAGTCCTATTGACTTCTTCCTACCAGAAGCTTTCCTCTCAACCTCCTCGCCATCCGAGAGAACCCCAGCATCTTCTCCCTCATCCTCGCTGCCAAACAGCGGATCACCTTCGCTACGGTAACCATTAGGTATCCGGGGGACGGGGGGGCAGCCCCCGCTCACATCACCACTGACGTGCCTGCGCGCAGCGGCCATCTGTGCCATATCTGCGGGTGTTGCACTTGCTCTCGTCTTCAACTTTCCGCCTGGTGCTCTGATTGTTGCAATAGACTCTGCCACTGGTGAGGGAGATCTGTCCTCCTCCCGTTCTTCCGGCTCTTCCAATTCCTCCCCTCCCTCCTCCACCCCCCTTCCCCCGCGCTCTTCATGGTCAGCTTCAATTGTGTAATCACTACGATCATCCTCATCATCCGCTTCTTCCTCATCTTCGTCCTCATCAGAGTGATAGATCTTATGCCTAATTACCGATCCAGTATCCTCGTCTTCATCATAGGTATAGTCATCCTCCTGTTCTTCTGCAACGCTTTCCGCTCGTTCGGCGAGAAGATCGCGAGCAATACTACTCGAGGGGACAAGCTCTCGCTCAGAAGTTTCAGGAGGGGGAAGCGGAGGAGAAGGAGCCATGTACTGACCAAGCCCTAAACCATCGTTGCTAAGCATTGATGAGAGGTCAGGAAGGCTCATTCTAGCCTCATCCTGGTTATGCTTCTGTGGTTCTTCGAACTTGGGTTCTTCGGCAACGGGAGGGAGTGAAAGGAACAACTGAGGATTGGTGGGCGTAGGCGTGGATTCCTCTCGGCTCGGGATCTCCGGCTCATTTTCCTCGTATTCACTATACCTGGATTCATCATCATTATCGTTTTCACAATGGGAAGCTTCCGAATCAGTCGTAGTATCATAATCTGGTGATCTCGTGGCAAATCGTGAAGCAGGGCGCTCTGGGACCTTGTGCATCTCCGGCACTCTGTACATGTCTATCCCCTCGTCATCAGATGCTTCCTGCTTGATTTGAGCACCATCGCCCACTTGTGAGGCAGTCTCTTGGTCATAATCATTATGTTCGACCTGTTCGCCATGCGGGTCATCTCGAGGGGGGGTAAGCTCTGGTTCAAACGAGTTCTTCCTCCGAGCCTGCACTTGTCGTCGAATGGACTCCCGGGAAAGGCGTGGTGGTGGAGGCTCGTATTCCGACGCGGATTCATATTGACTGGAAGAACCACTCTCATGGCCAGCATCTCGATTGGTATTAGGGGAGGGTTCTTCGTTGTCCGATGTAGCATCCTCCGTGAGTTGGACCGGGCTCATGCTCTCATCCCGCCCATCAAGTGGGCTAGCATTTTCCTTCACACTAATGCCCATGCTCTCTAGCATCTCCCCGAGCTCATCACGCTCCTCGTGCACTTCCCCGGTCTCCATTGAGGATCTTCGGGAATGTTCTTCGGCCCCCTCATGTTCTTCGTAAGCCAGCATTAATCTCATCCTCTCTTCAAGCGGCATTTTTTGGATATTCTGAAGGTCTGCTTTAGTAACGGGTAGGTTAGGAAGCGGCCTTCCTGAGGAGGGACTGTTACTCTCCTCTCGCGAGATGAAGGCTCCTGGAATTGGGGGGAGCGGCCGTGCGGTAGGGGATGGGGTAGAGCGGAAAGGATCATCAAGATGTGAATCTATTATGGCCTCCGGAGTCATCCTTGCCCACTCGTCGGGCTCAATAACAGGAGTGTTCTCCAGTTCATCCCCGTAACCATCCTCGTCTTCGTCTGAATCATAATGCATTGGGGAGGAGCCGTCAACTGATGGATCCGGCGTAACCATTTCATACTGAAGGACCTCGGGGGGTTCTTTATCGAAGGTAACAGACTTCGGTCGCCGATTTGGGCTGCGATTGACATTATCCTCACCATCCGAATACCCTGTAAAATCACCAACATAAGCATTCGTCTTGTAGGCTGATACCAGAGATGATTTTGGCATCCTACTACTGGGACTCGTGAGGATGGACGTCAGTTTGGCCTTTTCCCCGGGAGGTGTTTCGGGACGAATAGATGAAGCATCAGATTTCCTTGGAGATGGCAATGGAATCTTGGATCCTCGGCCAAATTGAGGGCTGGTATAAGGAGACGATAAACCTGGACTGTAGCTCAGCGGCCGCCCCGAATTCGGAAGATTTGGGCCATTAGGCTGGTTAAAGAGCTTGGTGTTGTTTTGGACACGGGAGGCTCGCTTCAGCCGCTCCAAGGATGACCGACGGCCTACATTAGGAGAGGAGCGTGAGTTATCCTGGGCATGTTTTCCTTCCCAGAAGGCACGCGGTGAGTTTGCTTTCGCCGGACTAAACGGACTTGACGGGAAAGGTGAGGATGTTGGAATGTCGTCATTTGACTGGTACAGCAAAGCGAATTAGCCTAGCACGTAGAGATTCCACCAATCAACTGCGCCGTACCTTGCGCCCTCCTGACGAGGCGCTGTTTCTCCTTCGCTCCATCAGACTAATATCTGCCAACGGACGGCCGAACGGGAGGCTCGACTCCTTGTCCGAAATATCTGAACCGGAGGAGATAGAACCCTTATGTATCCGCAGTGGAGTAACCTTGATTCAAGTGTGAGTATCGTGATCCCGAGCGAAAACAAACAAGGGAGGAGAAATCACGCTTGGGCCTGAAGCCATGTAATGGGATGGTCGGGTGATGAGCGAGAACGGATATGATGTCGATAACTCAGAGCGAGCTGCAGGATGGTAAGCGATCTATGCCGAAATACAATCGATTCCTGTTGTTGTTTTGTGTTTGAAAGGGGAAAAAAGTGAAAGAGCGGTGGTGGTGTTTGGCAGAAGTGAGTAGCGAAGGACGAAGAGAAGGATGGAAAGGAAAGAACAGGAGGATATCCCAAGGGCCGAGCGAATAAGGGCTCTCTTTTTTTTTGGTCCTCTCTCCACCGATTTTTATATATATATTTTTTTTATTTTTATTCTTCTCCCGTTCACCCTACTGCCTCTCTGCTGCGAGTGGCATGAAATGTAGGAGAAAAGGAGAGTATGAGTGGACGAACAAAGAGGAATGGGTGAATAGGGAGAGGGGGATGGAGATGGAGGGCGTGCGAGAGGGTGCAGGCAGGTACTGCACCAGATAAGTAGTTGTGGTTGCGACAACTCCTTGGAGGTGTGGATGTGGTTGTCGATGTGACAACAAACATTGCATCGGTTGCCGTGGCAACCTCAGAATGCCCCTGCTGCTTCGCTCCCCATGCCAGCAACCAGGCTGCTCCTCATGCGCCCAACCAAGGCTCTTGCAGGCGAGTCCAACCAAAACACGAACGCCAAGACTCAAATCCCGTGAGTTGATTGGCTGCAGAGCCTCATTCAATTAACCTTATCCCTGTAATTTTCCGTATGGGGCTCTTCCTCTCCCACTCGATTCTTTTCTTTTTCTCTCCCAACCTTCTCCCACCCCCATGGCTCCCACCAGTCTCCAGCTGCCTTTTGCTTCGGATTTCACTCAATTGAGTCCATCTTTGTCCTACCTGCTCGAGCACTTTCTTTGCCCATCCCTTGCATCTCACCCGGAACCGCCCCGTGGTCAATCCTCATCAAGCACTTCCCTTCGTCATTCGCCCGGCACCGGGGACATCATCCCCCCTAGCTCACCCAATACCGGTATATCACCTTGTTTGTGTATACGGCACCCTTTATCTCAGACATACGGTACCGTGGTCCTGCTTCTACTTCCCACCTCTTTTTCTCCTGCCCCCCCCCCCCACCTTACTTAGCTGCGGCGCTGGCCATTGCGGGACTGGCCATCTTTTGTTTCTTGTTTTGATCCTTCTTTGCCCCTCCCCCTCCTTGTACCCCCTCCTCCGCTCCTCCCCGCCCTCCGGTACCACAAAATTACCGGTACTCTTACCCATTCCCGGGCATTACCAAGATTGCCAACAATAGCAACAGCAACAACAACCATGATCCGGAATCTACCTGCATGTCTGCTGTGCCTCCATGGACTCGGCACCCTTTCCACTCCTGGATTCTCTCCCCCGATGTTATCACGATGTGTGGCTAGTGCTACGTCAAAAAGGCGCCCCTCTCGCTTTACCCTTTCTAACCGAGTTGCCGAGAGGCTCATCGAGAGGAAGCGGAAACCAGAGCCAACCCATGGAATGAACAGAACAGAAGCAAATATCACCCAACCCGTCTGGAGGAATAGACGGTCCTGCTCCAAGGAGCATGATGGTCAGGCCCGGGGGCGGTTACCAAGGTATGGAAAATTTGACCCCAAACATATGAGAATGGCGCAATCCCTTGGGGTCATTTCAAGAGCACAAAGAGACGAGGTCAAATCTGAGGTTGACAAGTGGTTTTCATTTGACGACTTTGATTTACTACCATCTATAAAAGAGGGTATTATACAAGGAGCTTTGAAGGGGCTGGATACCGTTGAACCTTCTCCGGTTCAGAAGCTGGTCATTCCGGTGCTAACCGGGCAGGCCACAAGGAGGCATAAACATACAATTAATGACAAGAATCCTTATGAAACCTTTCTTGTCGCAGCCGAGACAGGTTCCGGAAAGACACTTTCATACGTTGTTCCCATTCTGGATTTCCTCAAGCGGAGTGAGGAAGTTTCCCGAAAAAATAGTGGAGCGGGAACAAGCGTGGAGAGAGTCCCTGCCCCGAAGGCTCCTGCCAAAGATCTATTCGATCTAGAAATACCCCTCATTGAGCCAAAAGAGGACAAGGAGGACTACGGGAAACCTCGGGCGATAATCCTCGTCCCAACCTCCGAACTCGTCACCCAAGTAGCAAGCGTAGTAAAGTCCATATCACACATCGCCAAATTCCGCACAGCAATGATATCTAGCAACTTTACCGCCACTGTGATTCGCAACCGCCTCTTCTCTGGACCCTTAGACGTCCTGGTATCAACCCCATACATCCTCTCCAGCCTCGCAGAAGACAGCCCGAAAATCCTCTCGAAATGCACACACCTGGTAGCAGACGAAGCGGACTCCCTCTTCGACCGCGAATTCGTCCAGCTCACCACATCAATAACAGAGCGAGCGCGGGCACTGGAGAAGCTAATACTCTGCTCAGCCACGATTCCAAAGTCCTTGGACATGCGACTGCGCAAGTTCTACCCGAGCATACAACGCCTCGTGAGCTCCAAAATCCACACGGTGCCCCGAAGGGTCGTCCTGTCGGTAGTAGATGTAGACCAGAACCCCTACCGCGGCAACAGGTTCCTCGCCTGCGCCGAAACGCTCTCGCAGATCGCGAAGGAGCAGAGTGAGGAAGGCTTCATCAAAAAGGTCGTCGTCTTCGTGAACCGGCGCGAGTCCACCACCGAGCTCGTCTCCTTCCTTCGTGAGAAGGGCTTCGATGCCGCAAACCTCAACCGCGACACGGACGACCGCAAAAATGCTGCCGTCCTAGAGTACTTCACCGGCCCGAAGGTCAGCGCAGACCCAATGGCTCGCGCACTCGAGAAGATGAAGGTCCTCGTCACCACGGACATCGCGAGTAGGGGTGTTGACACCAAGAACGTCAAGAACGTGCTTCTGTACGATGTCCCGTACAACACTATCGACTTTATACACAGGCTTGGACGCGTCGGCAGGATGGGGAAGAGGGGGAAAGCTGTACTATTTGTAGATAACGATACGAATAAGGCTTGGATTAAGGAGATTAAGAAGTATTATCCCTCTGTTCCCCCTCCTACCCTGCCCCCCGCCCTCTCTGCGACTGCCGTTTCGGCTGCAGATTTCAGAGCTAATTTGTTTTCCTTTCACAGGAGTATGTATATGGGCGGACCATTACTGTAGATTTGGCACGGGTTGTATATGCACGTAATGTATCATATAGCATCTAGATAGACTAGGGCCTTGTGGATTTGTCGAGTAAATTGGCCATTTGGCTTAGAATAGAGGTTCAATATGCCGAGTGACATTGTATGATTGGACCGTTCGCGCCCGGCAGGTCAGGTGCCCGCTTGCCCCACCGTGCCCGAGGCGCCCGGCGACCCACCATGTATGATGCGCCGCAATATCATTGGAAGAAGAGGAAGAAGAAACTCCCCTAGACCCTCAGATCACGAAAAGCACGTAAAACATTTGGTAAAGAGAATAAATCTAAGATGATGATAATAATAAACGCCAATCTATCCTCGCCCTTTTTGTGTGAACTCCAACTGTGGTATATACGCAACACGCCGCAGATATCATCACCCTACCATTGCAACTACTGTTGCTACTACTGTTGCTCCGGCTTACTATCAAAGAAAGCAGTATTGTCCCTGTAGGCGATATACTCCGAATCTACCCCCATTAACAATTAGCCCTACCTCCAACCATCGCAGCAGGAGAACAAAGAGAAGAAGGGAAAGGGAAATGCATACCAGCATATCCCAACAGCTCCTGGATCCTAAAACTCTGCTGTCCCATAATCCTGCCAATCTCCGCGGACGAGTAATTCACCAACGCTTTTCCCACCTCCGGCCCCTTAATGATGTACCCGCCACCGACGATCCTCTGAACAACAGCCAGGGTGACAGCCTCCTGCTGCGCGAACGTCCCTGCGACATCCACAACCCCGACCGGCAGCAAGCCGGCCTTGTCCCTCCGAGTGAGAGCACCGTACGCGCCCTCGTCGATGTAGATAGTCCCGTTCGGGGCGAGCCCATGGAGGATCCAGAAGTAACGGTCACGGAGGGCGCGAGGTTTGGGCAGGAAGCGAGTGTGGAGAGGATGCGGTAGGGATGCAGCTGGCGGGGGAGTCGGGGAGTGGGCTAGCTTCACCGCGGAGAGGGAGGTTGGGGTGGAGAGTAGAGGGGAAAAGGCTATTGGGTCGTCGGTGCTGGTGATGGGGGTGAGAGTTGGCGAGGTCTTGGTTATGCTGGGGGTTTGCGGTTGGGAGCTGGGATCGGCTTCTTTGAGGGACTGGATGTATGCAACTATGTGGAAGATGTTGCTGGGGATCGAGGAGCGGGTAATTATTGCGGTCACACCTGCGGAGGTGGCTAGGCGGGCCGCCGTGAGTTTGGTGGCCATGCCGCCGGTGCCTAGTGTCGAGCCAGTACTGGATACTACAAGCTGTCAGTATTGGGCAAACAGAAATATCTGTAGTCATGGGCCAATATATATTACACACCATCAACTTTAAGACTCGAAATATCTGCTACGACCTCGATTGGCTGCGCATCCGGGTGGGTTCTGGGATTGTTCGTATACAAACAATCCACGTCCGTCATAAGGAACAGATAATCCGCGTTTACCATGCCGGCAGTAATTGCCGACAAAGTATCGTTATCTCCGAATTTGATTTCCTAGATGCCAAACCGTTAATCACCTTCCCACTCGCCGGACAGTCGCATGAGCAGCCCGAGCATACATTGACAGCTAGAGTATCGTTCTCATTGACAATAGGAATGATGCCCATGTTCAGCAACTCAGCAAAGGTGTTTGAAGCATTGAGGTATTGAGTCCTCTGTACCATCCCAGAGCAACCCGCATCAGCCATGATTCCAACACTAAGACGTGCAAAAGAGAACAAACATCAGCAATATCATTCCTCGTCAGTAGAACCTGTGCAACCGGCTGGCGAAGCTGCGTAAACAGTCCGTCCCAAAGTGCAATCAATCTGCATTGACCGACCGCCGCTATAGCCTATCATATACCAATCAGCTTCTCCCCCCCCCCCCCCCCCCACGAGAAGAACGGGAACAAACTTGGGCAGCAGCAAGATGTTTCGGCCTTTTCTCAATATCCAGCCTCTTAAGCCCAATCCCAATAGCCCCGGAAGAAACCAGGATAACCCTGTGCCCGTCTCTCCTAAGCCTGACCGCTGTCTCAACCAGCAGTGACAGATTCGACAGCAGCGGGTCATGAGTCTTTTCGTCACAGATGGACGAAGTGCCTATAGCAAACACATTTATCCCCCCTCCGTCAACCCGCTGGCGGGGGAAGAGGAAAGGGTTAGAGGGCAGGTGGGGGAAGACGAACCAAGCTTGATAACAATAGTCAAGGCACGCTTTCCCCTCATGTTCGTTGAGGGTGCTCCGAAACGATTAAATTCCGAAGAAGGATTCATGACGGCTAGGGAAAAGGCTACAGGGAGGACCTTAGTGTATGTAAGTATGCGTGTATGTAAATCACGAGCACTCGCAATGCAGTGGCGGACAAGGGCGGTTGGGTCAGTTAGTGCGATTCACCAGACAGGGCTGGCCGGAACGTGATTTAAGTACCGTAAGACCACGGTACCAGTACAAGTATTCGAGCATGATACCGTGTGGCAGTTGAGAGAAAATTTTGCTCCGGTTGCCAGTGTAGTAATAATTTCTTTTTTACCCACTCATGACCAGGACCGGTTGAGGAATCACTGGTACAATAGTACCGGTAAGTTATGTATCAGATCAGTACGTTACAGTACCGGTACTTGTACATACAGTAATCTACGGTACCGGTCCTGGTATGGCTTTTTCCTCACTCTTCCCTCTCTCCCCCTCCCCCTCCCCCCATTTTTTTTTTTTTTAACTTGGGCTTACAGTTATCCTATACGGGGATTATTACGCAGGGAAAGAAATACGGCAGGCATTTTCGGATTAACCAGCATCATCATCATCATAACAATAACAATATCAACAATAACAATAATAATAATATATCAACAGTTTGCTCCAGAATCCATCCATCCACAAGTAACGAGACCAGGTAGCAATACCGATATAAGCCGGTCGCTTTGACTTGTCTTCCTCTTCCGTTCAAGAGAGCAGAGTACAGGAGAGCACAGGTGTGATAAAGGCTACGGTACAGTGCTACATATACAGTATGAGTACGAGCGCAGTACAGCACCCTACCGTACAGAAAAACCTGCTTGTACAGTCCTCGTACATACTGTATGGTATGATACCGTACGAGCGAGTACTCGAGTCTCACAGATAACGGATACTGTAAGAGTACTGTATAACGTGCAGTAACTCACCGTACTCGTACAGTACCGTATCCAGTACATGTAACCAAGTGACACATACCACTACACTACTTGTACCGCTACCGTAATTGTAAAAACTGAAGCAAACCCCCCCCCCCCAATTGAGCCGCTTACAACCCCACCACCACCACCACCAAAAAAAAAAAAAGGTCCAAGTTCACTCGCTCGCTCACTCACCCACCCAACTCAATGTCCGAGCAATCCACAACACCACCACCCCCCACCCCCACAAAAGGCGACCCGGAATGGTGGAGGAGGAAGTTCAGCGGACTCACGGGCCTGGGCCTGAGCGACGAAGAACGGGCCGCCAATCGCGCAGAAGCCGAGTGTCGAAAGTGCGAGAAGAACAGGGACTATCTCATGAACTACAGTTCCGTCCCCCGTCCCCCGTCCCCCGTCCCCCGTCCCCTCCCCTCTCCCAAACCCTCAGCCCATCCCAGCCCCGACTAACTAACCCCTGCGCAACACGACAGGTCCCATAGTCCGCTTCATGCTGGAAAACATCTCAATGTTAAACGGTAGAATGGACGATTCAAACGTAAGGTGCATGCCCTGCGAGAACCTCCAGTCCGGCGGCTTCTCGCCCGAGCACGGGGTCCTGCTCTGCCAGAACCGCCTGCGCGATAGGGGGCATACGGAGGACACGCTCGCGCACGAGCTCGTCCACGTGTACGACCACTTGCGGTTCAAGGTCGATTGGGAGGAGCTGAAACACCATGCTTGCTCAGAGGTATATACATCCCGGGATGGCGGATTTCGAATCCTTGGATGGTCCTGGTCTGTGGGCTAATCCTTTCTTCTCCGCTGGTTGCATGCAGATTCGGGCGTCAAGTCTGAGTGGGGAGTGTCGGTGGACGAGGGAGGCCTTTACCAGAGGTGTTTTCAACTTCACGAGACAGCATCAGGCGTGCGTCAAGAGACGGGCCATTCTGTCCGTCCAGAACAATCCAAAGTGCAAAGATGAAGCGGAGGCGACCAAGATCGTCAACCAGGTCTTTGACTCTTGCTTTGCCGATACCCGGCCCTTTTCCGAGATTTACCGGTAGCTCCTTGTCGGCTCGTCAACCTCCAACCCGTATCATGTATATATATAGAGGGGTAGGGGGAGATCATGGAAGAGGGGGAGCAAGCATGGCACTCTCCCACAATGCCCGCGTATTTGTATAACAACCTTGCCCTTTCGTCTTGTACAACATAGAATTATCATTGACCTTTAACCCCAGAAGGATATATGAACCCCTACACGCCAAAGCACAAAATAACAACAACAAAAAGCAGGAGACGCAGTACAGATGAAATTAATCCCAAATAAAAGAAAAGGAAAAAGAAAAAAAGACGAATCCCCCCTTCCATGCTTTCCCATCTTGCGACCAAAACGTCAAGATCCGGTGGACGGGCGGCGCGCAGAATAACTCGTGACTCGCACCAAATCAACCACCCCCTCCCCCCCATACACATGTCATGACTTTTCAGTGCTCCCGCCTGAGCGCTTTGTGATATTCGCTCCAGGTTTTGGCGCACAGTGCTTCAAGATCCATGGATGTTTTGCAACCTCCTCCAATGGGATTCGTTGATCCGGTTTGATAACAAGTAGCTAAGGTAGTATAAGTATGGCTAGACAAGTCCTTCAGATGTGACCATGGAAACATACCTTTTTAATAAGATCGCCCGCTTCGGGGCTGACGAAATCGGGGATCTTCATATCAGCCCTGACGATTCTCCGTTGTGTCTCCACAGGTGAATCCTCAAACGGCGCTGCTCCAACCAAAAACTCGTATGTTAAAACACCCAGAGACCACAAGTCCACTTTCTCATTGTGGTAGTTGCTGCCATTCAACATCTCTGGTGGGAGATAGTCAAGAGTTCCGCACATGGTGGTACGTCTGTAGTACTCAAACTCAGCAATGGGCCAAGAATGCCACCGGAAGAGTGACCATACCTCGAATTAGGAGCGTGCACACTCCAGCCGAAATCGGATATCTTGATCTCACCATGTATTCCGACAAGGATGTTTTCAGGTTTGATATCGCGATGGATAACATGCTTCTTATGAAGATACTGAAGAGCAGCGGCCATTTGAGCAATGTACTAAATACGCCAACATGGTTAGCTAGAGACATAAGGTAGGCTTTGCAACAACAACAACAACGTACCTCGGCTGCACGCCTCTCAGAGAACCTCCCAACCTTCCTCAACATCTTGTAGAGTTCCCCTTGTCCGGCAAACTCAAGTATCAAGAAAACCCTCTTCGAGTCGTGAAAATGGCCGAACAATCTAAGGATATTGGGATGTCTCAGGTTTGACTGAATCTCAATCTCCCTCCGGAGCTGTTTCTCAACCTTCCCCTGTTGGAGCTCGCTCTTATGCAAAACTTTCAGGGCGCAAACAAATCCATTCTTGCGTTCTTTGGCGAGATATACACGGCCAAATTTCCCTTTACCCAAGGGACGCCCTATCTCAAACATCCCAAGGTGGAATTCGCGTGAGGAGGGCATAGACCGTGGAATAGTCAGAGCATCCGAGCTATTCGACTTTCTCTGCTGCTCTGACGAAGCATCTTGAGTTTTGCGAGGAGGAGAAGGAGGCGGCATCTCCGAAGGCTTCCACTGGTTATTTGCATGGTTCTGATTGTGCACAGCAATCTTCAGAAGAGGATGTCGGGGAGGGCCAGTTTGCTGACCCTGCCTGTCCTGCAGTGAGTTGCTAGCAGTGCTTGAGGATGCCGGGTTGGTCTAGACAGAATCTAGGTCAGTAAAAATGGGTCTCGGTGAGGCCAGAGAGTACCATGTACCTTTGCTCTGTGAGATGCGGAGGACGGATTGACGTTCTCCTCGCAAACGGATATCCCGGCCAGGCGGGCTTCGATCTCCCTTAGAGACATCCCTAAAGCTTCTACAAGAGATCAGAAAATATGTGATGAGGGTTTCTGAAGCTAGTGGCGCAACGAAAAGTCAAGGATGGATGAGGAGAGGGGAGGGATTGAGGGAGGAGGAAGAGGAGGAGAGAAGTCTCCGAATCTATTAAGGGCCGTCAACAAATGGGATACAAGGGTACGTGTTGTTGCCGCGACAACCAAGATGACTAACACTGGCATGGCAGGTGCATTCGCCCAACAGCACCGTACGGTACTCTGTGCCACGCAACACGCAATGAGCCGGAGGTGTGAACATTATTTTTAACCCAATCCTGGGTCAAATGGAGGATTGGTCGCGCGTCGGAGTGCTCACCTCCTGGTGCGCGCAGATACAATTACCGTATCGTTGGATTG